CCCCAAAACCCCAAAACCCCAAAACCCCAAAACCCCAAAACCCCAAAACCCCAAAACCCCTTTATAATAATTTAAGACTGAAATCTCAAAGAAATGAATACTTTAGTCCCTATTTTAAACTTAGTCTCAAACTGTGTGAGTCAAAGTAGGGCATTTAACTAGTATCATTAAAGCCTCAGAAGCCTCTGTTATCGTCTTCTAGCCACAAAGAGGTGGATTAGAGCAAGAAAATAAGTCTTTGACAACCCTGGTCAATGAAAATTATGAAAATATCTATTTTTCTAATAATATCTCCTTCCTAAGTTACGTTTAAAATAACTCTTGAAGGTGACTAAATTAAGTCCAAAGAGGGTGAAGATCAGAGGCACGAGACCAAGCCTACGAAAAGTTGGAGGAAGATACCTCTTTTCACCTTTCACATAGTCTGGTGTTTATGATTTTCCGATTTTGCTTTAATGTCTGGCTTACATATTTTCCCGAGATTCGAAAAGTTCTTATCCGTATCTGAAAGCAAAATGTTGTCTAATAGCATTAGAAGGTGCAAAATAGATGCTGAAATGGAAGTATAAGCCTCCTCAGCTTAGGGAAGTTGATAAATCAATAATTTGTTAACTTAGTAGCCTGAAAATCCAGCCGAAATGGGTTATACCAGGTCCTAGCATGCAGTTTCCTAAGTTTTATAAACGCAACAATAAAATATGAGAAGAATTATCAAAATTATCACCAGAATTAGAGTTTACATCTATGAAGAGGTCTGGTACTTGTTTGGGATCTGGTCAGGTTATTAAGTTTTCAGCCTAATAATAGATCCCACAGTTAGAACTTGAGTTCAAAAATCTTTAATCATAGCAAAAACTGCAATTTTAGTCTATTTCTTAATTTAACTTTTCTAAAGCTAATTTTCAGGGAAAATTTTTATAATAACCCACTGTCGTCACAAAAGCTAATAATGAAGTTTTTACCTTGGAACAAGTAGCCACAATCCAATTTACGAATAAGCAAGGGAGGAGGGACCGGACCTGTTCCAATGCTAATTTAGATATAGCAAAAGCTCTGGGAGCTACCAAGCTTTTGACAGAGGGATATTACCTTTTTATAAAAGTTTTTTAAGAATTTGCTTCCAAACTCCCTTCCATTTTTACAGTTTTTCAAGAAATATTATCAAAATCCGAATATAGTGTAAACACAATTTAATCTTCAATAACTTGCAGACAAATTAACTGGCAGAGATCCAGAACCAGGCTGAGATTAGAAGGCTTTGGATAGCCCCTTTATTCGTGAGAAGCTTCTCAGGATCCCTCCTGTGACCATTCGTATTGGAGAATAGTAACTGAAAACTTATCGAATAGGGTGAAATCTAGACAAATTATTCTTGAATATTTGAGAAAGAGAATGGGACTTATGTCAAGAAAGGATCTTTGCTTGTTATACATTAAAGATCTCCTTGTCCTGGCTGGTAGAAGGCTGAAGCCTTCTACCAGCCAGGGAGAGACGACCTTTAACGTAATAATTTTGGATCTACAGACATTTTCATGAGTTCCATACCGTCTATTTATTTTTAATAATTCGTGAGAAAGATGGAATCTTTTCAAAGCGGAGTACTTATGCTAAATCTTTCAAAAATTGTTGGAAGAGATGATACTAAACCTAAACTCCCAAGGGCAGACTTGTCTGCCCTTGGGAGTAGATTCAGTATCCATGAATCTCAGAAACATCTAAAATTTTCATAAAATTGGAGAAAAGAGGGACATCCTTGCTGAAGCAAAATCTAAAATATTACAGATGGTTTAGAATAATTTTCAGAAGGATTCTATCTCTTTGCAAGGGAGATTCAAAAAATTATTAACCTGTGTTCCGTTGTTAAGATTTTTCACAGTTTACATTTTTCCACAGTTTATAGCGTGACTCACATTGGACATCGGTTTCATAACAAATTTTAGGAATCTGTAGAATTTGGGAGAATTTCAAATTAAGCAGAGAGCAAGATTAGCAACGGCTGGTCTACCTAACACCCAAGAGGATGATAGATGTCAAGAATTGCTTATTTTGAATAGCCTAAATTGCTCATGGTTACAACACTTCGCATATCTAGCTGTAGCATAAGCATTCATCGCTCGCTCACAGGAAATGATAGACAAATGGTTAGTTAGCTTTTGACAGGATTTTACGCTTCTCAGAACCACCTATCCCACCTATCTTTCTTAAGCCACTAAGGGGTATGAAGGCCTGGTAGAATTGAAGAAATTGCAAATTTTCGATAAAATAGCCTAAAGAGACTTGGTAGCCGTCTTTACGATACTGAATTATCCAAATCGATGAGAAAAGAAGACACATTTTTATGTTGAAGTTTATTAGAGATAATTATGTAAATGATAAAGGATTTAGTCTCCCCAACTAAGAAGCACCGACTCCAGATCTTAGTTGGCAAGCTACCTTAATAGTATCTAGAAGGGCACCATCTGCCCGAATGGGGCGAAGTACTGCTCTGGAGCACTCTTTTGCAAGCTCTGCATTGGGCTATTTAGGTCACAGAAGCAATAGTTGTCCAAGATTAAATTCAGATTTTGACTGGTTAGCCCAAGATCTGCCTGGAAATTCATCTGGAAATTTTGGGTATGAGCGTTTCCGAGTGACGAAATTAATTCATTGACCTCTAAACCTGATGACTGGCTTGAGCAGGTCTGCTTCACTGAGGTAGCTTCAGCTACCTCAGTGTTCTTCTTTCTCTTGACTCTGTATTTCTTCTTCTCAATTCTTCCTTCCTTCTTGTAGATGGCCAAGACGTTCTTGGCACTTGAAACATTAATATTAAGTTGTTCGCAAACAGTTTTTAACTTTTGACCCTGAAGGGTGACTCTTAAAATGATTTCCTTCCTGATTTCATCATTGATTTTCTCATAGGTCTTCTTCCTGAGTCTTCTTGTCCCTTTTGGCTTAGAAGTCTCTTCAGGAAAGGCAGAATTAACCTGTTGGTTTAAGCTATGAGAGTTGTATATGAATTTAGTCTCCATTTAAGTTAATAAATTAGTTATCTCACGTCTTTTTTAATCTCTTATATGGGGTTTTGGGGTTTTGGGGTTTTGGGGTTTTGGGG